AGTGTTATTTGCCAGAAAAACAATATGTTTCCAGGCTTCAGATGAAATCGGCAGTGTCAGGCTAAAAAAACAAACTTAAAAATTCACAGAGAGCTGGAACAACTGCAGAAAAAAATGGAGCCCAGAGGTCAGTCCTTTTCATGCAGCTCTGGAGAAAAAAAAAATCAGAAAGTCCCACTAAAACAAGGTCTTTGAGGGGTACAGGAAGAATGGTGGTTTTTTTTAAAAAAAAATCCAAACTACATAAAACAATAGATGCTCAAAGCAGCAGCTGCCATAAAAGCATGTCCATCCCAGTGTAATGACACCAGTCACAGCCAGTGCTGCCAGTTTGTATCCTCCACCCTGGGCAACCATGGCTCATACACTGGGTGATCTGGGCTCTTGGACTTCAGAGATGGGGAGATGGAATAAAAGAAGGCTTGAGGTATGGCATGGAATCTCAAAACGCATCAGTTATGAAGGGAAGTAAGGGGTGCCTTGGTGGGGTGTTTTGGCGTGCAAGTTTATGTCAATTTCTTTTTGAAATCTGTTGGAAGTACTGTACTGGTGCAATGGAAGGAATAAGGCAACTGAAGGAAATGACTATCTGAGAGGCAAACCAGCCCCATATCCCAATAAGAAGTACAAGAATAGGCAATTCCATCTCCTATCACCAAATCTACAGCCTTCCTCTCACAGCATCTAAAGTCAGTCCTGCTGAGAATGCAGTCAGAGAAGCCTGTGACACACTAAGTAGCCTGTGGCTGTGCTTTATAATGAGTGTGACATTGCTTGTGACCTTGACAGTACAGCTCATATAGCCATGGCACACACTGCACCCTAAGTGATCAGGTTGCTGCGTAAATAATCCTCCTCCCAACACAAAGGGATCCTGACCCAGGGTCTGTTATGGAGATGATGCTGCTGACACTACTGCAAACAGGAAGGGAGAGGGTCCAACACCCACAGGACTCCCTTCCTGCCCTGGACGGAGACTTCTGAGAGGAGATGCCATTATATTAAAGCAGCACAAATCCACTGGGGCTTCTGATGGGAACTGGGTGACGTACAGCAACGGGAGCTGTGTTGGTTCTCTGGGGCTCAGTCTTCTCACCCAACAGAGGTAGAGAAGAGGAACACAGTGGCCCCCTCATCCACTGTTTTGCCAACCTTGGTCTCAGTTAGGCATAGTTACCTAGGGGCAACCTGTCACCTGTGGACAACTGTGGTCTACAAATGCCACATTGAAAATTCTGGAAATGAACAATTCATACATTGTACATAACTTTTATTATAGTACACTGTTTTTAACTGCTCCATGTTAACATTGGTTACAGTTTAAATCTCTTTCTGTGCCTAGTTTATAAATTGAACTTTATCACAACTATATCTGTATTTTTTAAAAAAGTATCCGGGGCTGGGGATTTAGCTCAGCGGCAAAGCGCCTGCCTGGCAAGTGCAAGGTCGTGAGTTCGGTTCCTGGTACCGGAGAAAAACCAAAAAAAAATAAAAATAAATAAATTAAAAAAATAAAAAAGTATCCATAGGTTTCAGCATTACCTGTGGTGTCAGACACCCATGGGTCTTGACACATCCCCCAGGGACAGGGGTCTACTTAACTACAATAGTATAGCATGTCAGTATGTCAGAGCCTTACAAGCACTTTGACTTTCAACCATTTTTCATAAGATATCAGTTCAGTCAAACTTGAAAAAGCACACCTCTGGCAGCACTCTAGGAAGGGCGGCAAGCCACTGGGTCATGTTCATTTGTGGCACTTTTGGACTGTGTCGTCATTAGACACCAATGACTGGCAGGGGCTGGTCCTACATGAATGGACTGTCAAGTTCATCTCTAAGGGAAGATGGGACTCGAGCTCAGCATCCAACTGATGCTGAGACCTGGGCTACCTGAGTGTACTCTGGGCAAAAGCAAACTGGCTGATTCTGCCCATTCTTGTAGAGAGCGGCTGGAGAATGTGGCTTCAGGAATCCTACAGTGTGGCGCATCTCCCACAGTGAGGAGATAGGTGCCCCTCCAGCAGACAGTGGGAAGCTCATGAGTCATCTCCTACTACAGAGCTCTCAAGCTTGGGGCACTGTGTTATACATACTTTACAGCTTTATTACCGCTTCACACAGTGGTTATGAAAGGTCAGAATGATTATCACAAGTTCTCAGGGAAGCATACAGGCTCAGAGCACCTTATTATGTTGCCCAGAGCTCCATGGTATCTAAGCTGGAATTCAAACCCAGGAGAGTGCCCACTCTACACTCTTGAGATGTTTGCAATGAGTTGGAAAGATAGGAAGTGTGTCCAGACAACTGGATGTTCCAGACCAGCCTGTCTGATAGACCTATCTGTGCTGATAGAGATGTTCTACGACCTGTGAACTCCAGTATAGTAGCCACTAGCTAGATGTGGCTATAGGATATCGGATGTGTGGCTCGTACAACTGAGAATCAGAAATTATAGTTCATTTTATTTGAATTCATCTAAGTTCTAGTTATCCCTGAATGTCCACATTGCACAATGCAATTTGAAGACTTTCATAACAAGCATTCAGAAAAGGAAATGATTTGCCACAGTCCAGGTAGTCCAAGCAGGCTTCTTGAAGGGTGTGGCTCTGACATGTTAGGACTTAACAGGACTCTTTCTGTTTCAAGCTTGTTCATCTTCCCTCCCAAATTTGCTTCAGAATCAAGGACCCCAGCAACAAGTCCAGCCCCTTCAGTCTGAAGATGAGGAAACCAAAAACATCTATCATGGAACCATAAGAAGCATGTTTCCTTTCTGGACCTGCTCTCTGCCTCAGGAACGAGCTCTCATTTACTGTTTCCTGTTTCCTTCTGGAAGCTTTTGTTCTCCTCTCTTCCCTGTGCCCTCTCTGCAAACCCTAGAAGACACGGGCTTTGTGCTTTTTTATCAACCTGGACATTTTCTTGCTCCTTATAAAGCTGAGTCATTTCCACTCTTGGACTTTATTACATAGCTTTCAATACACTGATGATTCTACACCTGTTACTCTGAGAAAGGCATCTTCCAATACAGTGAGAAATGCCACTCACAGAGAGACCACTCACCTTCCCCCAAACACAATCCCAACACATTAAATACCCGTAAGCCCATCCTGTGGCCAGATCTAGCACAGGAAGTGGGTCACAATGTCAGGTCTGACTCCATTCTTTCCATACCAAGGGTGGCCACTGGGCTCATCAATGCTGTTTCCTGTCTTCTGACATTGTAGTCTGTTAGTTGGATAGAGATGTTGAAAATGTTTGACTACAAAACCAGATCAGGGCTGGGCATATAGCTCAGTGGCACAAGCACCTGCCTGGCAAGCACAAGGTCCTGAGTTCAATTCCCGGTACAAAAAAAAAAAAATCAAAACCAGATCAACCAGCTGCACTGTCCCTGTCCTGGCCTTTTGGACCAGTTCTTAGAAAATTAGTTTCCTGGAAGATACACGACTCTGCCCCCTCAACTGGAGCTCTTGGACTTTCCACGCCATTTTCATCACTAGCTGATATAGCTGCCATGTGCTGCACCTTCATGACTGTCTCTTGTGCATTTAATAACAGCCACAATAACATTTGCATTTTCTAACTTGAGAAATATTGATTATAACATGGTTTGAAAGTGAGACCAACTTCTGACTCCTTCCACCTTCACTCGAAGTGGTTGTTAAGAATCTCAGTATGGAGGAAAGAACAACTCTACCCCACCTTCCAAAAAGAGAGCAGACATACAACTTCTTAAACACCTTCTGTACTCAAAGGTCTACGGCCTTTGTGCATGCAATGAAGATGTTTATAGCCATCCATGATGACACAAAAAACAAGACAGGTCTTTGGATGTGAGGTCAACATGTTCTTGAGCTCTTGGGTCCTTGGAATGAATACCTATGAGGTGCAAGTGCACACCAAGGCAAGAAGGAAGGCCCCAGAGAGCTCTGTGTCTAAGTCAGGAGGGTAAAGTATAGCCAGACCCAATCCATCCCACAGCTGGTTTCAGTACAGTTTGTGAGTTAAGGATGGCTTCAATTTTTCTCTTTTTTTTTTTTTTTTTTTTTTAGAGGGGCTGAGATATTGGGAATCAAACTCAGGACCTTGCACTTACCAGGTAAGTGGGCTTCAATTTCTTTAAAAGAATTGTAAAAAATCTCTTTAGAAGGGGGCTGGGGGTTTAGCTCAGCGGCAAAAGCGCCTGCCTGGCAAGCGCAAGGTCGTGAGTTCGGTTCCCGGTACCGGAGAAAAACCAAAAAAAAAAAAATCTCTTTAGAAGACTACTATTATCTAGCCTGCAAAGCCTAATATACTTACTGGCTGGTCATTTCTAGAACAAGCCTGGTGTAAACCATGAGCAACTTCATCCCAGAGGGGAGGACCTGTCATTTCTCTAAGGACCGAGGGGCTGGATACCAGTGATTCCTAGTTGCCTTTGATCCCCTTTGAACTTATTTTCATTTTCAGTTCAATAACATTACAGATAAAATGTTCCGCATAGCTTTCTAAAGACAGGCACAATATACACCAAATATAACAACAAATACTCATGAATGCTCTTCAGTCTTCCCAAGATCTACATTGTAGTTGAAGATCTGCCCCAACTCTGTCTTCACTGTGACAGAAGCGAGGCCCTTTATTAAAAACCAGCCAGAGAGAATCCCAGGAATCAAAGCATAGAGGGTCACTGGAATCCTCATCCATCCTGCCCCAGGAGCGCTTTTGTACTGGTTGGCACTGGCTCCGCATGTAGTATCAGCACAGAATCAGAATAATTCCAACAGAATAATGGCAACTTACCTTCTCCTCAACTCCAATGAGGAAAGAATACAGAGGTGGAAACACCTGAGTGATTCTGTGGGCTCTCACCTTGGAGTTTCTTACACTCCTATACTAAATGTTCTTAGAGTTTCTTTGATTTGAACCCAAAGAAAAAACACAGAGTCCAGCCTTTCCTTGACCATAACCAAAGAAAATGGCAGCCATGACCCGGCACACAAGCATCACTATTACCTGGTTCAGTGCAGTTCTTGCTGCTTCGGAGTCCTGCATCTTCAGAAACCAGAGAGTCATTGATCTGCATTAGCTTCCTCCCCACCATCCACTTTCTGTCTTCTCCTATGAGGTCCATGAGGTCAAGCTCTGGGGAGAAAAAGACAATAACCGCATATCACTCACAGCAGAGTTTTGGTCTTTACCCACACCACACTAAGACCTCTTCAAGCCCCTTGCCTCTAACCATTAAGGGGGTCCTCTGTTGCTGGTCCCTCCTGGGATCCAAAGGTAACTCCACAAATAACAAGCCTAAGTAGGATAACAGTGAAGTGCATATTCCAGAGTTTTCCCCAGTGAGCTTAAGCTCCCATTGTCCACAATGCCACTTTCTTGATAAAGCACACTTGATTAGTGGCTGTCTTGTCTTTGTCTTGATTTCCTGAATGCAATGACATTCTGACAAATGCTTAACCACCAATTCTCTGTGTAAGGAAACGTTCCAGATTTGTAGCTATTGCCACTTTCGTGGTATCAGTTATCCCATGGGGGGCAAGTTCAAGCTACCAATATGACATCTTTGAGAATGGAATTGGAAAGAGAAAGTCACAGTCATCTCTGTTACATGAGCTGGGTACATGTCATGTATCTACCCCCACCAGCACATCCTTCAATCACACCCCAAATCAGCCACTCTCCACTGAACCCATGGTCTGCCTCCTGGGAGTCATCAAGCCAAGACATCTTTCACTATTCCCAGAGCATAGGCCAGGAGAGCCATTGCACAAGTTTCTAAAAACTACGGGAAGGAAAAAGTCAACCACAGAATGCATGAGCACTGAGGTGAGCACTGAAATGACTGTGGGGGTGGACATGGCAGTGATCCAAAGGCACGTTGAAGGGGGAGCATAGGACCCGCTGAGCTGGAAATGTCTGCAAAGCATCAGAAGGGAAGTATTCTACCTACAGGTAAAGGTACCTTAGAAGAGAGAACAAAGCCACAGGGAGAGGAATAAGCAAACAGGGAAGAGCATGAGACACGTGTTTCCAGGTGTCCTGCATGGAAACATACATGTCTGGAGAGGATGGCTAGTAAGGAGGAGTGAAGAAGAAATCTTGGAGAATTCAGCATTCCTCTAGAGAGTGACCAGAGTCAAAGAATCCAATAAAGGATCACGACAAGAAGGGAACCAACAAAGCTACATGGTGTCAGGCAAGAGAAGCCAAAAAAAAAAAAAAAAAAAAAGAAGAAGAATGCAGGAAACTGGAGTCAAGAGTCTTGACCACCGTGGACAAATCCAGAAAGACAAGGCAGAGAAACGATGCCTGGAGTTGGACAGCAGGGGTCACTGGGAGATGAAGGCAACCAGCTCACTGTAGCAATTTGGCACCAAATAGAGAAGTAACATGAGGCCACTTGACCCCCTGAATGTCTAAGATGTGGTCAGAAAATCAATCCAAATATAAGACAAGGAACCAATCTGGGAGCCCACTGGACTTCACACACAGCATGCACCCATCCACATTGACATGCTGTCATGAAGTGGTCAGTGGGGAGTTGGAAGAGCACCGTACCCTCTTCTCCATTTCTATGAGGGTGACAGTTGCTTCTTCCATATTGAATCTGATCCTCATGGCACTACTTGGGAAAGAAAGAGGGTGCGCGAATACTGTCCCTCCAACACCTCATCACTAGTGGCTCAAAGCAGGAACTCACTACACACAAGCTGGAATCACCATTCCCATTTCACAGATGGATAAAGTGAGACTTGTAGGAGTTTCTGGAAACCCCCATGCTTGTGGGCTTCTTACTTATGCCAAAAGGACACACATGGTATCAGCAGTTCATGCACTGAAGTCTTTCACAATCAAGCATAGCCCTGCTCCCTGGGGTAAAATTATAAAGATATCTAATTATAGCTTAGGCATATTGACCAGGAGAGACCGCTTGCTAGGTTTGTTTTTTTAAAGAATACTACAGACTACAGTAAACAACAATTTTAGACTCTGAAAGACAAAAAACCACATGGTAGCCACATGTATCAGCTTAGCCAAAATTGTCACAACAACACCAAGGAGATAATTCAAAGTTAAGACAAGGCATGGGTGCAGTCTGGCTAACCTGAATAGTTGGTTCTCATGATTAAGAATGATGACAAGTAAAGAAAAAATGTCAAGAACTCATGGAGAAACAATGTCAGTGTTAAACTCCAACAAGCAGTCCCAAATGTGAACATAACACTATATTACCATGCACTATCTCAAAGTGTGGGGAAAGGCATTTCCTCTGTCTCCAGTGGCTTTCCCCACAGAAGTACCCCTGAGAGAAAGATGTGGGCACTGCTGGGATATATGGGAAGGGATCCTGGGAAGAATCTGAATAGCAACAGGGAAGTGGAACAGAGCATGAGCATTTCAAGCCAGCTGCCAAAATGAATAATGAGCCCTTGACCTCCCTGGAAAGAAAGCTGAAGGAGCCAGCATAGATATTCATGTATGACACCCAAGGAGTGAGGGAGCTGAGACATTTACCCACCTATACCTGGGTTGAAAGTCATGAATAGAAAACATTAGTTCTCTAGAACCTCCACCCCTACCATAGGGATATGTAAATGAGCTCTGGTTCCCAATAGAGGACTTGGAAAATGAGATGCAGGTTCTAGAAGTTGGATGGCACCAGTATGGACTGAGGAGGTCAGTACAGGGGATGTGGGCAGGGCACCGTGGCATCTGCCAGCCCACATGGCATCTGCAGAGAGAGGGAGGTTATGGCTGGCAGACTAGGAATTCTGCTATTCTCATAGTCAGGGCCAGAGAAAAGCCCTCTGTGGACCTGCAATCCCAAGGTTCTGGAAGACCCCAAAGATTTGCAAAGCAAGAGTATCCATTCCAGTGACTTCCAAAGTTTCTTCTTACGCCAAGTTTCCATGGTTCTGTAATTCTAAGAGAAAAGCTGATACCAATTAAGAGATGTAAAAGTGAAGCCAGCTATTGTAGCAGAAAATTAGAGGATTTTTTTTCTTTACATAATGATTCAATATCTTCAGAAATTATTAAGATAGCACCTCTGAATTCCAAACCGTACAGACTTTTATCTAAGCAAAAATATACTTGACCACTGACCACTGATATAAAAATACAGAGACAAGAGTATGGAAAAATAAGAATGACAAAAAATAATGCTCTGTATTTATCTCCTTCCCAATGAGTACAAATCTGACAGTAATACACCCAGTTCATCTGTTCTCACACAACTCCCTGTGAGATAGGAAGGGACAGTTGGTTCTGGGGACAACTTATCTTTGGGATAAAAAGAGTAGAAGTGATTTGCCTAAGAGCTGAGCCAACCCACGGCCACCTCAACTACCTGTCCCAGTTGTCATGGCTTCCACTTATTCAGTGTCTATTACGTGCGAGAGCTTTCCGTTCTTCAATGTACTTCCTATTCACTATCGTTCTACATGGACCTATTAGCTCCATTTTCTCAAATACAGAAAGTGAAGCACACAAAGGTTGAATAACTTGCCCAAGGTCACTCAGAGAGCAAGTGGCACAACTGGGATTCGAACCCACTTTGCTGAGTTCAAAGGTCAAATGTTTGGTAGAAGCCTGGATGGGATGAAATGCATCTTGGTTGTAGATAATAGTTGGTAGATCCATAATAGTTGGCAGATCCAGATAATAGTTGGTAGATCCATAATGCAGCCTGCGCTTTATACTAGGTTAGGAGAAGAGGCTCTCTCACTGGGCTCATCCTCAGAAGCTGTTGGGAACAGCAGTGAAGCATGAGCAGCGCCCTGTGAAAGAACATTCCCCCAAAAAAGAATGAGACCAAGCTGTATGCACGGCACTCTGCTCAGTGTAGGTTTCTTGGGGTCTCGGCTGGCCCTACTAGCATGGCATGGAGAGCTGCAGCCCTGCACTTAGGGACAAGGGCAGAGGGTGGGCACCAGGGAAGCTGGGAGGGTGGTGGGAAGGAGAACGGGACCCAGAGAGGTCCCCACAGTGTACTCTCCCCTCACTCCCCCAACCTCGCTTCCTCAGTCCTCTGCTACGGCAAGGCGGCTGCTCCGCAGAGCTGCACTTGAGCAATGTCAACAAAAACACTTGGCCCTGGTCCACCTCATTCTTGGCTCCTCCTCTGCCTGGCCCTGGAAGTTGCACGTTGCCCTAATTAGCCAAAGGGAGGGGAGAGGGTCGGCAGGGGAGCAAAAAGGGGGGCTCTGTGTGACTGTGGTTCCAAGAAGGGGGGACAGGAGCGGGCCACGGAGATGCTGTGGTGCGCTGCTGGGAGGGGAGGAAGCCCGGTTCTCAAGCCAGACTCAAGCTGCATGCAAGAAGCAAGAGCACAGGGGGCCAGTGCCAAGTTTCCATTACAGAGCTGTGTGCTCACCCTCCCCTGCACGCGCTCTCTCCTCCTTCCCATGATTGCAGCACGGGGAACCGAGGATTTCTGATGCGAGGAGTGGCCCTCTTTGGGTGCCCCTGCTCACATCTTCACCCCCAAACCAGCCCCCCATCTCCTGTGCAACTTTGTCCCACACAGGCTGCTGGGCCATCCCAGGCCCAGTAGTGAGGCAGGGCTGGCTAAGCTCTGCTGAGAGATCAACTCCTTGGGATATCTGGACAGACCTGGCAGCCAACTGGGTATGGGTGGCATCACCAGCCATGCCCCTCACCAGTGCCAAGCACCTCCCTGTGCCTTCTCCTTACATCCTCCCCCAGGGAGCAGAGTCCATGTTTCTGCAGCCCGGCTGGACCCCCAGCCCACAGCTGACTCCTACCTAGGCCAGGGCTGAGCTTCCCACCTTGTCCCAGAATTCCAGAAGCCAGGAAGTAGCCTCCGAGAACCCACAGCTCCTTTGAGGGAGCAGCTCTCCTCCCCAATGCCCAGTACTGGGATGGAGGGGGCCAGCATTCCCAGATATGCACAGACAGGTGGCCATAGCTCTCTACTTGCAGACGTGGAAACTGAGTCACAGAATGCCTAAGACATCACCCGTGAAATTAGGCTCAGAAAACTCAGTTAAGGGCACGACAAACAGAACGCTGGTGGCAGCCACTGCCTCCAGCTTTCTGGGCCGGCTCAGCACTCTGCACCAAGGCTAAAAATACCCACCCTGGAGTTTACACAGCTGCCTCCACTCTGT